TTATAAGAAGAATGTAATTTAAACTTTAATTCAAAAGAACTTAAATCTAATACAAAATCATCAAAAATACTATTTTTAGTAATCTCAATTATATATAAACTCCATTTATCTTATTACTTTCATAATTAGATAATTTTGAATTTTCTTTGTAACCTTAATTGTAATCAAAAAGCTTTAGAAAGTTGTAGCTTCTAATTTAATTGTCTACTTGGACAAAAATTTTGCACACAAATACCACTATAAGTCTTTTATGTATTCAAAAAGAATTCACTTCAATTTATCTTATAAATTTTGAGAAAACATTTAAAAACCACATTGATGTTCCTTAGCTGCCAACTTGAAAGTTGATGCAAATGTTCCAGTAGTGATTTTTCCTTCTCTAACTATTAACTTCACTCAAAATTGGTAAGTAGCTTGATCTTTAAGTCTTCTAAGACCATGCCGAATTTCACCTTAATCCAACTAATAGATCTTTAGATATTATAGAAATCCTATCCAATCTCAAACTGCCAACTTCTATTATCTTCTTGTACCAAAATCTAGATATCTCTCAATTTCACTATTCGATTATTACAAAATTTTACATAAATTTAGCACAACCAATTAACCAAGAATTATCAAAATTTGAATTGTAGATATAACACCAATTTTACGAACTAGCTGAGAGTACTAGTTTTGATTGTATTGCATAAATCCCAAGTTTCCAATACAAATCTTGATTTTGAACAAAAATTGCAAAGCTTCAATAAATCCTATAAAAACAAGCCTTATGTTTCTGGAATAAGCTTCAATCTATCTTTCAAATTCTAATCTTCAAACTTTAAATGAAATCCTATTCTGTCCTAGGCCATCATTTTGGATGCTAGAGGTTTGATTTTGACCATGTCTCACAAATAGTCGACCCTTGAGTATCAATCTAACTTATCCTAGGAATTTTTTAGTCCAATCCTACCTTCAACTTAACCTTTATATCAACCATGCTAATTATTTACCTCTTCTAATATGATTTTACTAATTTATAGTCTTTCTAAGGTAATAAAAAATTCTTATATTCTAGAAGGTAAAATTATTAGCCAACCTTCAATCTACTAACTATTAAGACAAGAAAATAAACTAAGAGGCTTTTAAAAAGCCATGTCTAAATATCTTGAATTATTATTGAACCAAAATAGTTAGATATTTAATTAGAAATTTAATTTTGATTATATTTTTACTATATAATTGCATTACATCATAACAACAAATTTCCTAAAGATATTATATTACAAAAAGAAACTCAATTTATATCAAGATTTTGGAGAATCCTTTTTAAGATTTTAAAGGTAGATATAAAGCTCTCTTTGGCTTTTCATCTTCAAACTGATGGACAAACAGAACATGTGAATCAAGTTTTGGAGCAGTACTTAAGGTGTACCATTAACTATTATTAAGATGTTTGGATAAATCTTACACCATTAGCAAAGTTTGGGTACAATAATTTAGTACATTTTTCCATTCAACAAACATCTTTCTTTCCAATTATGGTTATTATCCATGACTTGATATTTTTGATTTTTCAAAAGTTGATAATCTTATAGTAGAAGATTTGATAAATCATTTGCGAGAGTTAAATGCAACAATAAAGGCACATTGAAAGAGAGCTCAAAAACAACAGCAGATGATTATTGCAAGGAACAACCACAATTCAACATGGATAATAAAATATGGTTACTTTGTCGCAATATCAAGACTACTCATCTATGTGACAAGTTGGACTATTATAGGCTTGGACCTTTTCCTATTAGTAAACAAGTCAATCTTATTATTTATCAATTTTATCTATTGGAGTCTATGAAAATCTACCTTGTATTTTATGTGTCTCTTCTTGAGCCATGTAAGATAGTGAATATCTCAGGAAGAAAACAAATGTCACTTCTTCTTATAGAAGTAGATAATAATCAAGGGTTTGAGGTAGAAGAAGTCTTAGATTCTAAGCAATGCTGAAATAGGTTAGAATATCTTGTTCATTGGCGTAGATATGATATTAGTGAACGCACATAGGAGCCAACAAAGAATCTTACAAATAATACAAAGAGAGTTGAAGCTTTTCATTAATGACATCCATCAAAATTAAGATGAAGAATAACAAATCTTTGCTATAAAAGAAACAAGATCCAAAGAAGATAGTATTCTATCTTCTATCCTTCTTTGTAGCTTTTGTGTATTTGTGACGCTAAGGAGATAGAGAACCAACATCAAGTAGATTCAAACTAAGAGCTTTTACCTGCTAACTTATCAAATGAGATATTGCAATTGTCATAACCTTCAAGACAACATAATTGAGATAATGATCCTCATAAACAACATGTCCTTCCTCAAATAGATGGTAAGATACAATGTATTTGATATCACGACCTTAGAAGAAACTTTGGATGTTTAGTGATTTTATTAGAAGTAAGAACAACTCCTGATGGTATTCCAAATGTTTTATTTGAAGAAATTTACAAAGACATCAACAACAATCAAATAACATGGAGGTCTTTTTGCCTTGATATAGGATACTATCAATGGTTGAGAGGATCTATCAACCATCTTCGAAGAGAACAAAGATCACAGTATATGGCAAATACAAGTTGCCGCATCTTAGATTTTATAAATATATGATGACCACTTTCCATAGAACTTGTCTTAAAAAAGAAGAATAATATTAGAAAAATATACACGTACTTTAGTAATATCTATATGATTAGGTAGAAGTAGATTCAAATAAATAAAAATAGGTTAATTTCATAATACCTTTTAGAATAGCTTCTTAGAAGCTTCATTAATGTTGCTTCGACTTTATATATATTTGTACTTGATTGATAGATTAAAAACTTGATTAGTAAATTAATCATATATTGGTAGCTTACAGAACAAGCTAACTATGTGGTACACGTATCAAAAACTTGCCTTATAAGTTAAAATATGTGTCTTGCAAAGTCAACACGTTTTAGAGGTCGTATAAGACATTGCCATGTAATTCCTAGTTAAGAGTATATATGGAGGCAAAAGTGAAACCTTCTTCACTCTTGTTAACGACTTTCTAGTCTTTAGTCTTATTTCAAGACTTTATAGTCTTCTTGTTTTTGCCAATAGCCATTCTACTTCAATATTATATCATCTTTGAATGACTTTTTGGTTCTTTTTAATGATACAAGAGTGTATTGAGGATTTTCTTTCTTCAAGTTTCATGTCCTTGAAATTCGAATATTAATTAAGGTGGTCACATTTGATGGCATTCTTTAAGACCTAATTTAAGTCTCAAAGTTATTAATCAAGGTAATTGAGAGTCTAAAGAAGATGAATATATTAAAGAATGAAGGTCCTTAAGAAAGAATTTCAATAGTCTAAAGAAGAAATTGGAGGTGTCAACCTTTAGATCAATGCATAAGCTATCCTAGCCAATATGCAATTCAATTTGGAAAACTTTGTGTTTTTTTTTCGCTATGAATGTGAACTTCATTACCAAAGCTTAACTTTGGGATCAATCTAAAGAAAAAAAAAGATTTACAACTCTTCTTTATCTTCAAATGATAATTTAACATTTCTTGTAATGATATTAATATAATAGAGTTGGTTTTGTGATGTCATATTATAATACAACTATTAGAAGAAAAAAATGATTATATTATAGAAAAACTTGTCCTACAAATTAGACATATGCTTTGCAAGTTTGATACAAGTTATATGACATATTAGACATTGATATATAGTTGTTTAGTAGATAGTATATATAGAGGTAAGAATGAGGCCTTTGTCATTGTTGTCAACATCTTTCTTGTATTCTATCTTCATTCAAGACTTTCTAATCATTTTTATATTTTGCAATAGTCATTCTAGTTTCAATTCAATATTTATCTTTTAGTTGTCTATTTTCTTTCTTTTAGTCATATGAGTGTATTATCAATTTTAAAATTTTGTTGTGCTTCATGCCTTGGGAAAATTCGTCCAATTAAGATTTATTGATAGAATTCACAAAGTTATGTTCTACAATAATGATGTAAGATGAATTTATATAGAAAGGTATAAGTGGAACCTATTAGTAATACAATAAATAATGTTGAATAAAAGAATTTGATTTGGAATTAAGAAGATGCACACAATTTGATGGCTAGACCTACACACTTAATATACAATGTATAACAACTTACAAAGGAACATACATCAATACAAAACAAGAATAAAACCACCAATTTGGACTATACTAATATAAGCCAAAGATTCATTGGAAAAAATTTATTAACAATTATTGGCAAGTCAAGAAGAACTAATACAATAATTGACATTGTACATATTTAACAAGATATTATGATATAGAGTAGTTCCATTGGAGCAACCCAACCTTGATTAACTCAACAAGGAACAAGGCTATTGAAGTGATCTTTAACATTTATTTATAGATGACTAATTTTGTGTCTATAATTATTTATAGGAATAAATTGACTCATTTTAGAAGCTCTAAACCATTGCAAACTATTACTAAAATTATTTTTAAAGTCTAAAAATATACATATATATATATAGCATTTTTTATGCACAACATATTCATTTTATTCATTATTCATTACTAATATTTGTACATTTATCTTAAAATAATATCTTAATAAGTCTATCATATTTAAATGAAATTTTGGATTATTATTGTGATCTATTTTCTTGTACATAAATTAAACAATTGTAATTTCAAAATAACTCATAAGTTTCTAAATGGATTAAAATAGGATCTCAATTTTCTTTCACATGCCAAAATTACATGCTAAAGTTAAAGTGAGCAATAAATTATTTTTCTGCCAAGCTATGACATTTGAGTAGTAACCAGGCTCAAAACATGTCTGGTAATTGCCCTCATTACCAAATCGACCAATTGAACAAGCATTGAGGGCAGAATGAAGCTAGATTACTTGAAAATTGGAATGCACTTTGATGTACCCTGCCAGTCATCCATTCAGACCACATTTGAACACCTAGTACACACCACCTAAAAAAATAAAGACATTTAGGCAGCTCCATAAGAGAAACGTGAAGGTTACAGCTGCAAGCAGGTAGCAGACTTGTTGACTAGGTGATTTTATCTCCCGTTCTTCAATTGTTGAAGAACCTGGATTCTGCATTGACTAATGATCTCAAAATACAAGCTCCATCTACAAGACAAACGCTCAGAATTGCATGTAGCACAGACCTAAAAGCGGGGTGCTAACCTCAAGTAAAGATGAAGGTTAGAAAATTTTCTACTTAAATCTAAAAGTATACGGCTACGCACTCGTCTACTCAGTCAAGGCAGTACAGCAGCACTCTTTTTTCAAGATTAACTAGAACCTTAATATGAATTAATCTAAAATTCAAGGATTCTACTGGCCTGTGTGGGACACTTGCAAGGAAAAGGGTCACCACATTTACTTCTTCTGAGAATCATCAGCAGTACCGTGAATTGCATAAGGGGCCACTCGAACATAAGACAAAGATCGCGATGATCGCACAGGACCTGTGGTTATCATTTCCACATCTGTGGAAGTAGAAACACCGCTCGGAGTTCCAGTTGTTGCTCCTACTAATGCATTACGCTTCCATTTTAAATTTGAAGTTCCCATATAAGGCATGGGGGGACCAATTGGTCGCCTTGCAAGATAAATTTTATGCGGAGGCATATGCTCTCTTGGATGCCCTCTTGAAAATGGTGGTGGAATAAATGAACTGGAAAGGGATGGATCAGGGTTCATCTCTGCAATAGCAGAATCCTTGCGCATAACCTGCTCGCATACAAATGACAATAATAAGAAATCAGGTGCATGGAAAAGAATACATGTTATTTCTAACGGAAGATCACGAGGTTGCACCAAGAATTCAGAGATTAGCGGACAAGTTGTCAAATTGTACCAAAAGGGCAAACAGGGCTTGATTCCCAACGATAACATCAATAAGAAGAGGTGCACACCTTGAGGTTACGAGAGAGCAGTGATGACTCATTCAAAGCTAAAGCATTCTCTACTGCATCCTTTGTAGTAAATTCCACAAAAGCAGATCTGCCAAAACGCAACGAAGACTTAATATCATGAAGATTCTGACAGTCTTACAAGGCCCCTCTAAAGGATACATTATACAACAACTGCAATTTAAAAGATAAAGGGTATCAAGTAATTCATAATAGACATTGCATTCCACTAACCCCTTAGGCTTGCCAGTGGCCGGTTCTACCAACAAAGTCACCCGATTAACGTATCCACACCCACCAAAATGAACTCGTAAAGCTGCTTGTGTTGCAGCAAAATGCACCTGCCAAAAATTCATTCCAGACACAAGTGAGGACTCAGACAGCATCTACAGCATGCCGTCCTTTATTGGTGCTTGAATCAAAAGAGCGGAAAATTGTGCTCGCATAAAAGCAGTAGACAATGATAAAAGCTATAACTACAAGAAGTATCCAACCAACTAATAAGACATTGAAAAACTTACATTGGTGACAAACACAGACCGATCATTGATGTCTTCTTGACTTGGTTGCGGTTCAAATGGTATCGACCTGACACCTACACTCCAATTAACGTAAAAACTATTAATTACCATCAGTAACACGGCTGGACGAACAAATTGATGTACCTACAAATCTGACTCAACCAGGAAGAGAGTCTCACCAGCAGCGGGTGAGTTCTGCACCTCTTTGGAAACTTCTGCCTGGCGAGCTCGCAGTTTGGTCATATCGAGCTGTACTTGCCTCAGTCTCTTTTTCATCTCCAAAACATCCTACGTTCAAAAAGAAAAAATGACTTCAACAAATGAATCCATACCTACACAAAAGTAGGAAAGAGTATCTATATCTCGACCCACTAGAGGAAGAGGAAAATAACTAAATAAATAAATAACAAACCTTGGAATGCCCTACCTCATTAGCGATGGTCACTTGTTCATCTCCCACAACCTTTCCAACTGATGATGAGAATCCGTTTTCTGAACGTTGACCTCCCGGCTTGTGAGAATTGAAACTATTCCTTCTATGTAGACTGTCCTGATTCTGCATATGTTCCGCATTAACACTTGGCAATGCATCTTCCAGTATATGTCCATATACATCCACTGTCCTACCAGAGTACGGTGCTCCTCTATATCTCTGCTCCCTGCCACCTCTTCCTTTACCAGATCCTGCTCTAAGTCCAGCAGCTCCGTTCTTCTTCCATTTTCCCCTATTTTCAAAATGGACACTTGCAAACTGGCCTTCGGCTCCAAACATGTTCGTATTGTTCTGGGCACTTCGATCATTCAACTTAATTCGATCCCACACAGAAACAGGTTTGTCCTGCATTTGCCTCTGTTGTAACTGAGAGGTTCTGTTAAAATGACGATCCTCCACAGCGAACGGTTCCAGCTCAACAGCAGGGATTTCATGAATCATGTCAACTTCAGTTCCTCCATTACCCTGCAAGTCTAGATGCACACTTTGTTGTGAGAGCCTTTCTTAGACATACGTATTCTACAAGATTGTAGCACATAATTAGAGCCCATAGCTAAATTCTACGAAACAAAGACCTAGTGGATGCGAGAACCGACTGAAGAACTACGTAGACCAATTACATGTGCGTCTTGAAACTGTCTAATCCACAAAGACTCTCATACCAGTTTTAAATGAGTTTACCAGCATCTGACGACACCACAGATTGGAGCCGCTTGGCTGATTCGGTCTTCTTAGAAGCATCCCTCTTGGTGGCAAGGAGTGCACTTTCGTTAAAAACCTCCCTCACTGCATTGATCAAAAGGCGACGAGAAGCCTTCACAACTGGAGGAGACATCTCTTTCTGCAACCACCAAGCAGGTGTCTAAGATGCATGAGAGACCATTCAATAAAGTGGCAATTGTAGGAGAGCGTAATTTGAGCGACTGAAAGAGCTACTCGAAAACATTCATGGGCTAAACAAGACCAATACGAGAATCTGATGTCAGCAGATTCGCTGTTTCAGCATACCACGTCAGGCCTGTCAACCCGTCCTCCACCTCGGCGAATCCATATTTCAGGTGACCGTGGTCGCTTGGCCTCGTTGCGACGTGATCCATCCCGCCGGCGACTTCTCCTCCCCAAAGAGTTGCCAGCTTCAGCAACTGTATTCACGTCATCTAGTTGCACCGATCGAGTAAACTCAAGTCCTTCAGACAGTTCCTCAACTTCCATCCGTGTAGTCGTCTTCTCATCATGCTCAACTACAGTCACAACTGATCGTAGACTAGGTTCGCCCTGCTGTGTATTTGAAAGAAAAGATTAGATGAGAATCAACGTGCTTCAAGAACACACAAATCATGGACGACATCAATTTTGTGAGTAGCATCAAACAGGGTGGACAACATCAAGATAAGTTAATAAATATTGCAGAATGTTCTGAAGTTCTTCTCAAATATTAGATAATTTATGATCAAGGACGTATCTCAAGACATAACTTGGCTCTCAAAATGACCTATCGCGACCTTTCATACTGAACAATAACAAAAATAAGAAAGCCTGACTCATATCAGTAGGAGTTTGGAATAAATGAAGAAGGATCGAACTATCTGCACCTGGGTATCCTCGTCTGCCAACTCGGAATTAGGAGGCCTGCTATCCTCAATCTTGCAGTACGACTCCTTGTTAACAGACATGTGATCCCAAAGCCTGCACCACCATTCCTACTGGATTACATTTTCGTGTTCGCCCATAATTTCACTTAACCAAAGCACATCAAGCAATGTTTCTTGCATGCAAGTACGAAGAAGTAACGAGGTCAAACCTATTCACTGATCAGTCCAATTAAGTTTTTTCAAATATACAACAGAACTACGAACTCACGTAAATAGTATAACTTCCTGGATTACTCTTACAGATGAAATTAAATGCAAATTAGCAAGAAAGAACATACCAAGACACAAATGACTCGCTGCCTCCGCCTAGAAAAGCTTCAAGATCTTTAACAGCGTGCGACTTCTCCTTTCCATGTCCCACGAGCACAACCACATACTCCTGCACATCACCGCACTAATATTAGAGTCTTTAAAAAGAATAGAGGAAAATACATTACAGAAGGCAAAAATCTGCTGGAAAATGTTCAGGAACTTGTTGTGGGACTTCCACTCGTTTGCCCAAAATGCCCGAAGGAGAGAAAAATCATATCACGTCAACCCACATCCGTCTTCTCCATCAACGAGAAGAGCACTAGACACATCCTAAAAATCAAGCATCCGTAACATCGGCAGACACTAACACTAACGCGGAAAACGAATGGAAGGACACTTCCAGAAAGAACCTCGTCTCTTAAACCATGATCAGCTGCACCTTGAATAAAAACTGCCAAACTAAAAGTGACAGCTGAGACGTGTCCTGGATCACTCTTCATGAGAATAGCGTCATCTTGGGTACAACAAATGCATGACCGAAAAACATTGAACCAGATACATAAAAACAAGAAATTGCACAAGCAAGCACCAGACATCTACAGAAGTACAATAAGTTAAAAGAAACATACCACAAGCACATCATCCGTATCGTTTCCAATGTATTCAGACAGCTTCTCCTTCACACATTCCCTGAGTTTCGCTGCGCCACTGCTACTCAGATCTATAGTAAACTTTGCTCCATCCATGTTGATAAACTCCTCCTATCCTCAGATCCTCATGCTATATATTATTCAGTCGATGTTCAAGCACAAACCTTGCTCAGGATAACTCGCGAAATGGATTCCGTGTCGGTGGATTCTTGACAACACTCAACCTTCCAGCCCTGAATAGATGAGTTTGATGTTTAAGGTTTTTCTCCAAACACAAAGATCAGATCGACCCTGAGAAACGAAAATCAACAATCACAAGCAAAACACAATCAAATGATTGCTTCGTCCTTCCTTGGTCTCGCTTCCAATCATATGAGGGAAGCAGTGAGATCGATCTGCCTTTCTTACGACCAGAAAGTGAAGCCCATCTGAAAATCTAAGTATCCACAGGATACGTGAACCAACAAATATAATGCATTACACGGCCTCGCGCCAAAAACCAGTTCAATGCATAAAAAGTCGAGCGAAACTTCACAAACTAAAACATGAATCCCCTCTCCACCGAACCCAAATAAACAAATAAATAAAGCACGATATTGCAGCTACGACTGTATTTCTTGCAACAATGCTCACAAGTAACAGAAACATTCCAGAAATACCGAATTTCCAAGAAAAGCACCCATTCCGCAAATAGGTAGGACCATAAACAACACTCTTTCTATTGGTAGAAACCACATCTGCATTTAATGCTGGTGTTACATTAACCATCACTCCTTCCTCCACCTAAGAATCGTTGGAGAACTGCATGCATGTAACACAAAGCTCCAGAACTTCCGAGGACCGAATCGATTGCTCAGGTGTGCTGTAAAAATACATGAATTCTCAGCGAATTGCAAAATCCCAACCGTAGCCTTCCAGAGGAGTAAGTAAAACTCGTTGAATGGAGTCATTTAAATTAAGAATACAACAAGATGAGCTTGCCACGGATAAAATCAATGACATCTCCCTAGATGCAACAAAATAACTGTCACACCTTCAATCTGGCGATAAGGCAATATCATGCGAGAAAAACGCAAAACAGAAGGAACTTGTGAAAATCTCCATGACATTATTACACAGGTCCCGCAATTTGTTCTAAACAGACCATTCCAGATAACTTACGACAACAACCGCCTAATCTACTCGCCATCATCCACTGATCACTAAAAAGTCTGCGCCAATGTCACTCAATCACATCAATTAGGCAATCCAGAACGAGGTCATCAATCCACCATCGCGGTTGACCTCAACAGTCTTCACAGCGAGTAAAAACCCTAAAATCTCGCCACCAAGGCAAAAATAAAAATTCCACAAAGTGAACAACCGATGCAATTTGCAGGGACACCAGAGTTAGAAGGTTCACCAAGCAGGAGCGCCTTACGAGTCCTAGCGACAAAGGAAGGACAACGACTTGCAATTCCTAGCAAGCAAGAGCGCGACAACGAAGGAAGCGTGCGAGAAAGAAAGAAAAGAAAAAAAAAAAATCACTGAATGGATGCAAGAAGGTGGTCCGGAAGGCCTTAGAGCCAGAGAAGGTCGCTCACTCGGTGGGATGGACGATTCCGATCGTCGCTGTGCCTCAAAATCCGTGTCCTAGGGACGCACACACACGCACAGACAGGGGCAGAGCGTCAGGTCGATGGTGGGAAGTGATCGAGGTGAGCAGGAGGGACGGAGAGCGAGCGAGAGAGTGAGACCGCGGGACATTCGTTAGGGCTGGAGGCTGGAAGCGTCGTGGAAGTGTCACTGTGGATAACGCTTGGGGACTTTGGGAATCAATCGAGAACACTTGGGAAACATTTAGGGAACTTATCGGGGACTTTGAGAACGGATTGAGATAGCAAAAACAAGATTATTCTATAGTTGTTGCTGTGCAGAGTTTTATGACATTTTTTTATTTTAGAGATTTTTCTATTTCGGTAACATTTCACAGGAAAAATATGGTTTTTTTAACCAAATGTATGTTACTTGTTTTGGAAAAATAATCATTGGTTTTTTTTTTTAGAATTTTAGAATTTTAGAATTTTGTGAATAAATACCAAATGGTGACGTGTAGGTATGTTTTATTTTCAAAGCCAATTAGTTGTGAATGTAAGTCTTTTTCACCCAATCAATAAAACCCTTGAATTGGCTTTTATGCTGATGAAGAGGATTTCACACAGCTTTATGATTTTGAGAGATGTGGAAATATATATATATATATATATTTCTTCACAGTTTACATCATGGTTAAGGTGCATTTTTTTAAAATATATGAAATGCACCTTAAGTTTACTAAGAGGAAAGAAGGTTTCATAGAAATCAAAAAAACAAGTACTGCATTGAAGTACTGATAATTAATAAATATTATTCTCTATTATATTTCCATAATTATAATCTATAAATTCGGTATTTCATATTTTATTTTATACTACACATATCAAGTGAAGAATTGGGCCTTTCATATAAATTTTATTTTATATTCCACGTCCTTTAATAATGTATGAAAATATAGTAAAATTTGAATCTAAAACGATTTGTACAAAAATAATTACATGATTGAAAAACTTACAAGGTTAATGCTTAATAACTTAAATGAATCCAAGTTTTGTACAACTTCAAGGCATTCTTTGTAACATACAATATATTTATTCTTCTTAAAAATTCACAATATCTCAGTGCTATGTATTTTCAAAGGGAATTCAAGAGTAAAATCAGCAAATTCTTTTATGTTCTTTACAATAAATATATCTTGATTCTCAAAAATCATGTGATGTTGCAAAACAAGTACGATAATTAATTTATGTGCTTAAAATTGATAATGTTTCTTTATATAATTAAAACCTCTAAACATGGAATATAATAGCATCATTGTTCAAGGTTTTTATTATACATGAAATAAACATGCCTATCAAATAATAACTTACTCTAATAAATGTGAATTGAAATGTGAATTGAGTTGTAATGAATGTGAAATATATATATATATATATATATGTATTCAATTAGTTATTTATTTATTTATTATATAAAATAGCTTGGATAGAAGACAAAGAGGCAAAGAAGCCTTTTCATTGCCTAAACATGGGAACGAGAGAACATGGATGAACATGGAAAACACACAAGTTTTTGTGCCCAACAAGTTTTTGTGCCCAACAACACATGTTTCTGCTAGTATAAACTTAATCTCCTAATATTTTATATAAAATTCTTTAAAACTTAAAATATTATTTTTTCAATTAACTTTTTATAACTTTCATATACCTAAAGAAGAATATCATAAGTAGCTTAAAAATCTATTGATTTTTTTTTAATACATATTGTTATATATTAGAATAATAACATTATCAACTAAAAGTAATAAAAATAGAAATAAAACAAAAGATTTAAACATCAATAGCTACAAGATTAGAAACAAGATCTAGTTTTTATTATTCTAAAACTAATGTTGATAAAATTGAAATATCACTTGTATTATTTTCTTCTTCCTATTATAGCAACTAGATAATAGGAAAAATATCATACATATCCTTGAAAAATGTTGAAATATCAAGAATATCCTTGTATTCTTCATAATAGCAAATGTATCCTTCACTTTTGTCATAATATCAAAACTACCACTCCATGTGATAAGCAATTACAATTATTGTATTTTTAAAGTGCAATAGGGGTCCAACCTTCATCTAGCAAAAAAAAAAAAAAAAAAAAAAAAAAAAAAGATTGGCAATCTCTTGCACTTTTTGGCATAATAGGCATGTGTCCCATTGTTCACCCAAAATTCCTTCATTCCCATTTAAGACACATTTGCCTATTGACAAATCACTTATTTTGTTTTTTTTCAAAGGAATTATTATTCTCAAAGAAGTCTCTGGATACAAATTCATGTCTACTGAAGTTGTAAATATTGATGTGGTCATTGCTAAACATCTTTGCGCTGATATTATTGAGTCTTGAATTGCTCAATAAATTGTACTTTGATTCCAAGGTATTAGAAATTGTATTGCAGACATTGCCAATAATATGTATTTGAATAAGTTGTTGCTCTTGCTTCGGAGCAGTATCCGCCCTTGCAACAAGATTTTTAAATTGATTCAAAAGTATTGAATGAACTTAGAAGTACTGTTAAAGAGATTCTATTTAACTATTAAAATTTATATTTTTGAATCCTTAAAACATTTATATTTTGGTGTATTGACAATATCTAACAGATGTCTTTATAACATTCTAAGTTCCTTGACAAAAGAATTATGCTTAAAAAGAAAATGGTCAAAGAAACTAATAAACCACTCCACTTTAGATTCTATTTTTTCATTTCATGTGTATTTTTAAATAATATCTGTAAGGCAAGCCCTTTAAGATACCATAAAACTTAATCAAAGGATATTAGATTATTGTCCATACATCTAAAGGCAACCAAAAGTGTAAATTATTTGCTGATATTTACAATTTATAGCTATGATTTGCTCACTAAAAAAGTTCAAGAACCTACGATTTTCGCAGTTTTGGCACCAAGGACATGTCTACTCAAGAAAAAATTGGACCAGATAAATTGGATTGGACAATTCTGAACTGATCAGACAAGCCGAAAGTCATTACATTACATGTCTTAGTGCACTTCTAAGTTGACCATTTGCCCATTTTCAAGTAGAGTTATGCAAAATGTGCTTGACCAAACAGCCATCTTGTGAAGTGGACCTTCCTTGCCATTCAAGCAAATACCAGCAGATGTTTTTCTTATCAGATTCTACAAGACCGCCACAGAGCTTTTATTATCGGTGGCAGTGCGCGTGGAAAGATTCTTGTCAAAGTTTCTTACTCATCCAATCGATTCCTCACGTGTGAACTGATTTCGATGAGAATCAACCAAAGTTTCGGTGCACAGCGTCTACCCAAGCCACCACCCCGCGCGATAACGTCCAGGGTTTAGGGTTCTGTGTACTTCGCATCAAAACCTCCATTTGTTCTCACAAACCTCCACAGGATCGATCAAGCATCCTCCCCATTCCGCTTACAGCAAAGTAGGATCAGTGGTGTAAAAAACCCATCTCAGCTGCGGTTCAGCTCCGGGTGCGGACGATGTTGTATCCATGTTTGCATTGATCCGCTCCTGCCAGCGCATCGAATTGTGGACATCCTGTAGGAACCCATGAACTCCCGACAGTGTTTCGACCTTTCCACAGTGCCCGACAAGTGTCCGACACAGCATTGCCAGACACTGTGGCGTTGAACCTTCGCCACAGTGTCCGACACAGCATGCAGACTTGCTAAGATCCAAAGCTCACAACCAGATGGTTTGGAACCGATACGATTACGAAAATCACCAAACGGTTGACTCATGTTGAACACAGAATGGAGGGATTTTGTACCCATTTACACAATGTACCGCACTGTACACACCGAGCTCTCTCTGAAAGCCTGACAGTCACGCACGTCAGGACGGACGGCAGAGCTACAGCATTCGGCAATCAGCAACTGTAAAACTTGGTAGCCATAATGACTCACATAACTGTTTCTGCAAAGCAGATGGAGGAATCCAATGTCTGCTCTGACGCCGCACATCCATTATTCTATACACCACACTGAACACCATGCAGTATATGAACACCCAGTATGCGTCAACTACACTCTTGGGCTCTCATACACGCAGCTCGCACGTCATCTTCGCCGATCTTTAAGCGTTGAGAATGTCTTCCTCCTCCTCTTGGAACTCGGGGCTATCCTTCTCGATGGCAGTGACGTTGTTGTCGGATTGGCGTGACAGGGTCAATCCCAGAAGCCGCATTCCTTCGAGCTCGAGAGCGGCCATGCGTTTCTTCCTCTCATCTCCGCTCTTCGCCCATTGCCAGAGGGAAGTGTACCTACAGTACACATGCGCGTGGTGGAAATCGAATGTCCTCTTGGGATAGTAAGCGGCGACTACTGTCAGCATGTAGAATACCGCCTCGTAATTGTCGACGGAATTCTTCTTGAACTTGGTTGCCGTCTAGCGAGCCGAATCGTCCATCGCTTCTCTGGTTATCTCATCCGAGGCCGCAAAGATCTTGATCTGCTCGGGGGTAATGGTGAAGACTGCCGAAATCTCTAGCCAGGCGAGGAAGTCTTCATTCCTGAATTGCTTGGCCAACTCCAGCAGACGCTGAGCAGGAATGACGACAGTAAGGCCGGATGCAGCCATGTTTCAGCAGAAGAACTTCCAGCCCCACACGACAGCAACGCAACTGTTCACCAGAGATATCCCAGATGAGCCTCGGAGGCTAGGACTTCTAATGCTAACAGCGACCTGTTATTGCATACGAATGGGAACGCAGACGACAAACTCAGCGTACTAACACGATCACCTCTACGAAGAGAGATTTGGAGCTTGCATGCAGCAATGAGAATTTGGGACCTAGATCAGAGCAAGCTGTGGCGCCACCATGACTAATTGGGGAGAATGATCATCCGTTTATGAGGAATCTACTCGGGAGTCCCGACGATGTGCTGTTCATCTTGTTTGAATCACTCGATTGTTCATCCGGGAGCATCCTCAGGCAGCT